ATTAAAAAGAATTCTGCTTCAATTATGCGCTAAAAAATGTTCATTTTACAAAATTATGCTGCATTTAAAAAAAATTTTTGATTTGGAACAGTTACTGGTTATTTTTCGAAACCAATTTCCCGAAAGGCCCTATCCCGAATGTCTAAAATCCCAAATACCTTTTTCCCGAATCTAATTTCCCAAAGATTTATGTACCCAAAATTTTTTTTTGTTTTTTATTAAAAATAGGTATATGTGCGACTCCAAGTAAGAATTTAGTTTTTTTGGAGTAAGTAAACCAATTGCAATAAAATTCAGGAATTTTAATCTACACATAAAAAGAAATGTTTCCACCACACTTAATTCAGAAAAAAAAAATGAAAAATTGTTTATATTATGCTTATACAAATTTTTATAAACAAAACAGGTATTAAATAATAATTAAATAACTCTTGAACGACCAAACGAAATTGAATGAGGCAAACACTAAACAAATCTTTGCTGTGGTTTCTTTAAGATTCCGAAAAAAATTTTAACAACGGAAACATCTTTATACTAATTAGACATTCAGACACGGCCTTTCGGGAAAATGACCGGAAACGATGTTACTCATCATATATAGTACTTACTGCTTTTTAAAATTTAAGATTTATTTAATTTTTCAATAACATTTAACAAGTTAGTTAATAGTTTAAAAACTTATTTATTTTATTATTTAATTTAAAAAAATATTTTAAAAATAAAGAAACTAAAAAAAAATTTTCCATGGTTTTCAGTTAAAAAAGCACTATTTTAAAAATTTTAAGTCTATTCTGCGATCATTATGCAAAAAGAGTACAATTATGCAGTGAGTAAAAAATTATGCAATATTATGCGCTCTAGAAACATGTTGTAAAAGGTTTAAAACATGAATTAACATAATATTATAATGTTTCTACTTGATTTTAAAAAATTATGCAATTATGCAATCGCATAATCTACCTTTCTCTAGAAATAAGAGACCAGTTTCATTTGGCATGATAGCCCTGTAGGCCAGTCGGTGAGTGCAAAAAGTGCACATAAGTGCAACCTGAAAAGTCGAAGCAGTTTCTTGTAGTTTGAGGGCCCCAAATAAAAGCCCCATAGTTTGCACCACATTTCCGGTTGCGAAAAATGGTGTAAACAATCGCCAAAGTTCGAAAAACATGGTTTTTCGATGACTGTTGCTTCCGGTTAAATTTTAGGGGAAAAAGTTGTGATTGAAAGTTATAGAGCTTGGAAATAGCTTTCAAATGATTGGTCGCAAGTTAAAAAAGCTTAATTAGTTTAGTTGCAAATGAATTTAAACCATTAAAAATAGCACTTTTTTAATTGTTTAATAACTTTGTTAATAATTATCGAATTTGTTTCTAACTTCCCAGAAATATTCCCCTTGCGAGGCTGAATAAATCCCAAAAAAATTCAACTTGATCGGGTAAATAGTTTATGCATAATTCCATTTGTTAACTAAAAACATATAATTTTTCAACGGAATTTCCCCACTTTTGGACCTGCGAATTTCGTTTTTTTTATGGAGAGTACAGTTAAGGAGTCTAACTTTAATTCCATTCAAATGGGAAATTGATTTTTTTTATTTAAGTGCATAATAATAGACGTTAAAAAAGGGTATGTTTTTTTGACATAAACAAATGGAATAACTCGGCCAATTTTCACTTTATCGATTTCGTGTAAAGGGCATTTGATTTCATTTGTTTTCACAAAACTTTTCCAAAAAAAAAATCCGATCTAACTTCAAGAGGTGGAGAGTTAACTTTTTTTAAAAAAAAAATTCCTGACAAGTTAATCATTAATGTTTTTATTGAAATTCGCACCACTTACAGTTTGATACATGTATTTTATGTAAAAAAATTAAACATAAGGTTTTGTGCATTTTTTTTAAATTTATAACAAGTAAAAGTAAATGTATCCATTTTTCAACCTCTGAACGGCGGAGTGGGGGTACTCGGAGGAGCGTGATTCTCGCCGCCGCAACTGAATTCAGCTGTTCAAATTTGCAAAAATGGTCATAACTTCGTTAATTATTTACCGATTTTTATCTTTCTTTTTTTAATTCGATGTATTTTTTTACGCTGAATCCAAAAATAATTTTAAATGTTTTCAAAATACAATATTTTTAATAATAAAAAAGAAAATTTTTTTTAACAACAAATTTTTAATTATTATTTATCATATTTGACAAAAAATTCTTTTCGTACATATAATTCCATTAAATTTAAAATAATATTATGACATAAAAAAAATAAAATTATTTACTTATAAGTGTGTAGCATTGTTGTATTGATAGTTGAACAGGCGTGCATATGTGAACCTGATGCTACAAGCTTATATATAATTAATTTTAATTTTTTTATGTCATAATATTATTTTAAATTCAATGGAATTATATGTACGAAAAGAATTTTTTGTCAAATATGATAAATAATAATTAAAAATTTGTTGTTAAAAATTTTTTCTTTTTTATTATTAAAAATATTGTAATTTGAAAACATATAAAATCATTTTTGGAATCGGCGTAAAAAAATACATCAAATTAAGAAAAGAATGATAAAAATCGGTAAATAATTAACGAAGTTATGACCATTTTTGCAAATTTGAACGGCTGAATTCAGTTGTGGCGGCGAGAATCACGCTCCTCCGGGTACCCCCACTCCGCCGTTCAGAGGTTGAAAAATGGATACATTTACTTTTACTTGTTATAAATTTAAAAAAAATGCACAAAACCTTATGTTTAATTTTTTTACATAAAATACATGTATCAAACTGTAAGTGGTGCGAATTTCAATAAAAAACATTAATAATTAACTTGTCATGAATTTTTTTTTTAAAAAAAGTTAACTCTCCACCTCTTGAAGTTAGATCGGATTTTTTTTTGGAAAAGTTTTGTGAAAACAAATAAAATCAAATGCCCTTGACACGAAATCGATAAAGTGAAAATTGGCTGAGTTATTCCATTTGTTTATGTCAAAAAAACATACCCTTTTTTAACGTCTATTATTATGCACTTAAATAAAAAAATCAATTTCCCATTTAAATGGAACTAAAGTTAGACTCCTTAACTGTACTCTCCAAAAAAAAAACGAAATTCGCAGGTCCAAAAGTGGGGAAATTCCGTTGAAAAATTATATGTTTTTAGTTAACAAATGGAATTATGCATAAACTATTTACCCGATCAAGTTGAATTTTTTTGGGATTTATTCAGCCTCGCAAGGGGAATATTTCTGGGAAGTTAGAAACAAATTCGATAATTATTAACAAAGTTATTAAACAATTAAAAAAGTGCTATTTTTAATGGTTTAAATTCATTTGCAACTAAACTAATTAAGCTTTTTTAACTTGCGACCAATCATTTGAAAGCTATTTCCAAGCTCTATAACTTTCAATCACAACTTTTTCCCCTAAAATTTAACCGGAAGCAACAGTCATCGAAAAACCATGTTTTTCGAACTTTGGCGATTGTTTACACCATTTTTCGCAACCGGAAATGTGGTGCAAACTATGGGGCTTTTATTTGGGGCCCTCAAACTACAAGAAACTGCTTCGACTTTTCAGGTTGCACTTATGTGCACTTTTTGCACTCACCGACTGGCCTACTGTTTAACTTTCAGGAAAATGTATTTCCTTTCACCGAAAAGGAGAACTGTTCGCCCTCGAAAATAATATAAGCAGCGTGCTTTCACATTTAGTCGCACAACTAATTCATATTAAACGAAATGGCTCTACCAGAATGGTAAACAGTTCTCTCTTTTTTCACTTCGTATATGGCAAAAGTCTTGACCTGCAAATCTGAGCAATTAAAGGCCAAAGCAGAATAGAAACCTAACCGGGATCTCAATCGCGAACGGAAGAATGAGTTAGCAAACGATAGGTATATTGGTTATCCGTCTCTGACTCATTCTTCCGTCTACGTTCGCGATTATGGTTCCGTTTTTATTCTGCTATTAGGTATTGTTCTCGTTGCCTGCACTTCTTACACTTTAAAGGCGGTTCCAGAATAGGTGCAAAAGGCAAGGTGGAAGTACAAGTGCAAGTGCGAACCAATGCTAAATGTATAGGAATCGCACTTGCACTTGTACTTCCACCTTGCCTTTTGCACCTATTCTGGAACCGCCTTAACACCTAACCTGCACTATGCTGTTCTCTTTGCCGGATGTGACGTAATTTTACCATTCATTTCGCTACACTTTCTGCACCTACTCTTGAGGTGGTGCAAAAGTTATACTTAGTGCAGGCAACGAAAACATACCTATTGCCTTAACTGACACAGGTTGCAGAAAAATATAAAAACTTATAAGTGATTGTACACCCTGTTGCTTTAATGCCTTCCTTCCGGTTTTGACGGTGTTTTAAAAAGTCGTGACATATCTGTCAAAATGTTGTTAGTTCACGACTTATAAACGAACTTATATGTCACTAACTGACAACATTTTTTGGCCTGATAATTCGAAGCCATATTTACTCCAAATTTTCCAAATTATTGGAGTTGAAGAAGAAGAAGAAACTAACAACATTTTGATAGATATGTTAAGACTTTTTAAAACGCCGTCAAAACCGGAAGGAAGGCATTAAAGCATCAGGGTGCCCAGAAAACAAACGTGCGTCGCACGATGTCCGTCTCGCGAGAATGGCATTCGTGCGTGCACTCTGCGAGCAAATAACATTCACGCACGTGATTAGCACAAATGCGCACACTAAAGTTATTCATATGCTTAGCGTTTTATGGTAACGCACGAAATGATTGCTTTTTTGTGCCACACATGCGGACACATCTGTGTGGTGTTATGAGAGCATACGTGATATTTACTGCGCACATATGAGTGCAAAATTCCTGCAGTACTGCAAGCATTTTGTTATCTGGGTGTATTCAAAACGTAAATTCTACATCACACACTCAGAATTCAAATATTACCAAAAATCAGTTACAGAAATGTTACATCGAAATTCATGAATTAGAAAAATTGTTCAGCAAAATAAAATGCCTTCAATAGTATATGAAATAATTATATTTAAGAAATTAGTCTTTTCTATACAACTGCTCCCCCACATTCATACAGTTCGGAAAACTTTATAAATTATATTCAAAAGTGAATGTTATTTTTAACCTTTTATAAAGTAAAGAGTATGTATATTGCTTAAATTTTGTTTTTTCCTTTTCACTAACAGAATACAATTTATTTAACTTATATTAAATAATATGACAAGTTCAGGTGAGAGATTTTGATGTGAGTAAGCAATACGAATTCATATTTTAGTATATGTACATGATTATGGAATAAAAATAATTATAATAATGAAAATAATAATAACTTTGATAGATTTGTGTACAATATATTTTCATAAACAGTTTTCTATTTTATGGTTTCTTTTAAACAAAGTCTCTCATTCTTATTCTCTCCCTTTCTCTCTTTCATTCATAAAGACATACACACTTCTCTTTTTCAATTGTAGGTTTTCTTTAATTTCTTTTATCAATGTATAAATAATTATATCAAGCGTTAAAGTTATTGCTTGATGAATTAAAAATTAGTTTGTTTTACAATTTTATAATAGGCAATAAAATTTTAGCTAATATCCTTTCTGTACATAATCCTAAGCCTTTTTAAACGATTTTTCAAAAAAAATGAATAATCGTAATTGTGTAACAATAATAATAATAATAATAATAATAATAATAATAATAATAATAATAATAATAATAATAATAATAATAATAATAATAATAAGAATATTAATAGATAGAAATAACAAGATAACGCGTATGGATAAAGAGATACATCCATTCAACAGTACCTATTAATTTTTTTTTCATAAAACAAAACAAAAAAAATGTCACATCTTAGCCAAAATTTAAAAAATAAATGAAAAAAATTTGTACAAGAATTTTGTGGATTTTTTTAGAACAGTAGATGTAAGAAAAATATATTTTCATACATATATAAAAAAGTTTGGCAATAATTCATTAATTTTCATGAATCAAATGTTTAAGTTCAATATGACGACTGTTACACAAAAGTCTATTATATACTTTTTACAATTGAATTAATACTGACTTCGTTTTGAATAAAATATCTAATGCATTCACTGCAGTAAAAATCTGAAAATTTAAAAATTTTAAGATTGCTTGCGTACATATAAAAAAATTTACTTGCGTCGACTGAGTTAATGTATAAAAAATATCCTAAATAATTAAAAATAGAATTAAATATTTTCTAACTCTTAAACGACAAGTAAAATAAAAAATTGCTTTCAAAGGTGTCGTCATTTCTTACGTTCGTCGTTAAAAAAAAATCCATAAATTTTTCCAATAGAAATTTTGTTATACCTAAATTGGAAAAATGAAAAATTGGAGGGCTTATATGTAACACTAAAATTAAAACGTTCTTTTAGACAACATACTTCGTTATTGCATTTTTGTTTACTTCATTTCTCTGTGTATAATACTACTAGATTCATGTATTTATTCTATAAAAGTAATAAGTTCTATATACTGATGGTGACGTTATTTTAATCTGTATTTACAAAAATCCAATTGTAAATCCCTAGCTTCTACATATTTATTTATTATGAATAAAAAAATACTAATATATCGCATGGTCGTTGCATGGTGAGTAATTATGTAGTTTTGTCCAAAAATAAGGCACCGACTTTTGGAATCCTGAGATTCAACCCGCATGCTTCGATAGATTCAGAGGCATATCTAAAACAAACATAAATTAAAAATATTAATTATTATTTTTTATAATATTTCGAAATTGGCGAATTGGCGTTGCGCATAGAGGTGATAGAAATGGTGTCAAAACTTGAATACGATTTAATAAACCTGTAAGGAGATTTATAATATCAAAACATAGTATTCTTGTTTTTTAAGATTATAGAACACGCATATGACAAAGAAAAATAATTTTTTCAAAGATTTAAACAGTTCTTTAAATTTTTAAAGTTGACAAACTTTTAAAAATTGAAAAATTGTTTAAATTATTGAAAAAATTTACAGACTTAGCAAATCGTATTCAAGTTTTGATGCCATTTTTGACGCTTTTGTCACTTCCTCTCGCGAAGCCAATTCTGACGCCATTTCGCTCAAGAAGTTAAGAGGTAATATACAGAGCACATAAAAAAGTTACTTTCGATGAATTATTTTAAGAGAACTCAAATTATAAGACTAATTTTATGTTACATTTTTTTTACAAAAAATTGCAATCACATGTGAGTAGAAGTGTAAATCTGAAACCAGAATTTCATGAGTTATAGAGAGATAGTAAGATATAACAATAACCTCCTCACTGTCAGGAAATACTGTTTCGGTTTTACAATTCTACTTACACAAGTCTGCACACCTAATTATCTTCGAAACCGTTGAACATTCCCACACAGCACCGAAAATTTCCTGAAAGTTGAAATTAGCTTGACTGCAACCTTCGGAATCTTTAGTGCAAAGCTCATGAAACTTGAAGTTTTTCTTTAAATGCCCGATGTTATTCAATATTTGACGTATAAAAGTTGACTGAACATTGCATGAGAGTTGAAGAAATTTAAAACTTTCATGCAATGTTTAGTCAACTTTCGCGTCAAACATTGAAAAACAGTCGAAATTTAAGGAATTACTTCAACTTTAAAGAGCCTTGTAACTGAAGATTCCGAACATTGCAATCAAGGTAATTTCAACCTTTAGAAAAGTTTCAATGCTGTGCGGGTTTGGGTAGTGTACATATGTCAAAAGTTTTAGTCATATTGCAATATTATTACACTCCTACACATAGCGACGCGACGTCGTTAAAAAGAAGTGAATTTTGACAAGTTAGTATTTTTGCAAATAAGTGCTGCCACCTATTTCAATGTCAAATTAGTCCTTACGCCCCACAGCACTAGGCACGCCGCATTCTCAGCAGCCCTACGAAAAGGGGTAAATACCGAAACTAATCGCAAAGCCGCAGGATAGACACCCACTTCGACAGTATTTGCGAAATTCCACAATCGACCAATCATCGAAAAAACATAATTTTCAACTCTTTCTTTATTTTCATTTACATACAATAGTATAAAAATTCACTTATAAATTAATACCAATGAAAACCTTTTTTTAATTCCAAAGTATAAAAAAGAGCGTGAATCGATTGGGGGTCATTCACCCGACTGCACCCGCCCAACAGCTTATTCGCCCGATTGACATTTGGCAGAAAAAAAGTGCCCGATTCCTTTTGCCCGATTTTGAAAGCCCGACTTTATTTTTAAGGATACGAATTTTATTTTAAGAAATTCTTATATTGTAAGACATATTTTCCAGGTATTTTAAAATTTTGTCTTCGGTTTTGTAGTATTCATAATCCTCAGCGACGCGTCTCATACGCTCTAGTACGGCAATCCAACTTTTTTTAGCCTCCTCTGGATCGGCAGGGTGACTATGTTCAGATTCTTTTAAAACAGTCAATCCATCTTCGCCTGGAATTGTTACAACTCGAGCTTTACATTCGCCGCGACGTAACTTTCTACACGCCCAATTCAATTTTCTATTTGGTCCTTTCTTCGATCTTACATATACGAAACCTTTATAGATTAAATGGTTGTTGACAATTCGAGGTCCGGAAACATCTAAATCCATTTTCACAAAAAATTTTGGGGAAAAAAACGACAAATTTTGATGATGATTGGAATACGAATTTTGAACCGAATGACTGAAGTTTGTTTGTTTATATGTGAAGATATGCACTTATGAAAAGACGATCGCTGTTACCATGAAATTAACAATCGGGAAAAATATATTGTCGGGCGCTTGGAATCGGGCATTACGAGTCGGGCAAAAAAAATCGGGTTAATGTCCAGACGGGCTAAGAAATATACGGGCGATAGGAGTCGGGCGAATGGGTGGGAACCCTTTACAGCGATTTTGACCTACGATATTTGACTCACATTTTTTATGATCATCCCGTTGTTCACTATTGATGAATATATCAAAAATTGAATTATTGAACAAGCTTACCTGAAGTGGTGTTCAATCCAAATTCTATGAGCTGCCTCGCCCTCAAAATCAATTACGTAGTATCGTTAGTTACTGTACGTTCTGACACACATATTTTAAATATAAAGGTTTTTTGGCGATTTTGGGATTTAAAATTGTAAATTTTAGGGTCTGGTAGGGTTGATCTTTTCGGACGAGGCAGCTCATACAATTTTGATTGAACATCACTTCAGATAAGCTTGTTCAATCATTCAATTGTATTTCGCTGCCTCGTCCTCAAGATCAATTACGTAGATGTTCAGAGCTTAAATGATTCAATTGGAATCGGGCACTTTTTTTCTGCCAAATGTCAATCGGGCGAATAAGCAGTCGGGCGAATGACCCCTATTATTATTGAGTTTTGCAGATCGACTTTTGACTTTCTCTTCTTTGCACAGAAAATATATTGTAAAAGTACCGTCTTTCTTGGTGATTTTATCCCTTAACCCATGTCAGACAAAAAAAACTGTTTGATTAGTGGAACACTTTAGCGCGGTTGCAAGGGATAATACTAGTCAGGTAGCAGTGAACAACCTAGAGAGGCTCACTGCTACCTGACTGGTATTATCCCTTGCAACCGCGCAAAAGTGGCACATATTGCATCCAGGCCCTCAATTATTGTGAGATAAATTACACTATAAATACGCATTTCATTCTATAAGCTGTCCAATATATGTTAAGGGGTTATGCCACTCTAGGATTTTAAAAAAATCGATTTTTATTTTTTTGCATTAAATAGTCCCTTAGGGTATCAGAAATAACATATCGTAGTATTACGGCTAGGTAAAATCTCTAAGTAATTTATTTTCGTAGTTTCGTATTTTCGTAGCGGCGAGGTCCTTTTGTTAGCGCGCTACGGGAGGTGATCTTTGAAGGATCTAGAGCAGGTATAAGGCTACTTTTCTGTCTAAACTATAGTCTATTCTACACAATTTGGCTTCACAAACAGTATGCAAGCGTCTGTTTCAGTCAGTTAGGCATAGTCAAGCATGTGAAGAGCATATTAACTTTAAACGCGATTATCTGAAAACTACATTTTTCGAGTTGGCCGCACTAACAACTCGTACAATTTTCAACCGATTAAGTTCAAACTTCACAAACATCTTTGAAAATATATTTTTTAAGGCATCACGTAGGATTTTTTTTTTATTTTGTGTTGTTCATTTGTTATTAACAATTTACTGACGATTTTTTGGTAGAATTTAGAAAGGTTAACTTTAGAAGTGCGCCATTTGACCATGGATCAATATATCGAAAAAATCCTACGTGTTGCTTTAGCTATTGTAATGTACAATAAATAAAAAATTATATACTCAAGATATTTCAAAATTTACGGGAACAGTTGGTGCGGCCACGGACCATATGCGCCACAGAGATGTCGACGGAAAACCCCAACAGCGTCGCCATTTTTCATTAAATTATTATGAAAATTTATATTTTTAAACTTCAAAAGATGTACAATAAACTCCTCATATTCCAATTTTAATTGACTTTATAAATTCTCTGCAAAAAATTCACAAAAAATGCCTATTTTTTCGGTTTCTAGAGTGGCATAACCCCTTAAATCCGTACATACACTGAAAGACCTTCGGGACTGTAGCGGAACAACGTATGTGACAGCAGCTCCACTATGGTTTTGGTGCGCTGCGGTAAAATCTTGGGCGCGTGACAGTCCCAAATGTTGGTGAGCAGCTCACCGAAGTAGTGGGAATGCCGCCTTTGGTTTGCAGCTGAACAACTTTTGGAGTGTCACGCGCCCAAAATTGTACCGCAGCAACCCAAAAGTATAGTCCTGTAGCGTTCCTCCAAAATGGTCAGTAGCAGCCTATCGAAAGTCTGCTGCTGACCCAAAGGTCTCTCAGTGTAGTATAAGACTGCAATTCTTTTTCAGTTTGTCACTTATACACGGAGAAAAAAATCTTGCTTTTATAGAATGTTAAGACTCCATACTTTTTTTTATAATTTTCTCTTAGGAATATAGGTCAACTTTCTACCTCGTTCGCATAAAAAGTTTCATAGTACAATTGCAAGACCACTACGGTATTAGAGGCATAGAAGGGATAAACAAATCATGTTAAAACCGCGAAGTAGTATAAGGAGACTTGTCGGGATGAAAAATATGCCAACAGAATTAGACTATGCCTATCTCACATTTTTTGGTGTCGGACTGTTGAGCAGGCGCGGATCCAGGAGGGGCCACAGTGGCATGCCCCCCCCCCCAAAAATTCAAACTTCCTGGAATTTTTTAAATGAAAATTTCATTCATAATAGGTCATCAAGCTAGCGTCTAGCAGATGGCCCCCCCCCAAGAACCTTGTCTGGATCCGCCCCTGCTGTTGAGTGCGATCTCCTTGGGAAAATTTAAGGGGTTACATGAGTCAAAACGCCTAGAAAATGTATGTCTTTTTAATAATTCTTTTTCATCAAATAAATGAATTTTTTATTTGAACACTTTGGTATCTGAAAGTACACTGTTAGATAAGTAAGATATGAAATTTTTGATAAAAAACATTAAAAATCAGGCTTGTAGCAACAGTTTTTCGGGACCCTTTCCAAAAAAATTGCTTTTGCGGTGGTCAAGATATCTTTTGACTGCTTCATCTAAAATCGAATTACAAAAAATTTTCGTTTAGTGGGTGAATATATCTCGTGATTGAACGAAGGGTTTTTAAAGAAATTGAAATTTGGATTTTTGTCAAAAGTTACAGTTTTCAGAACCATTAAAACCATGTAAAATCGGTTCTAATGAACAAAAAAAATATCCCTTCGTTCAATCAGGAGCTATATTCATCCACTAACAGAAAATATTCGGGTTTTTGATTTTCGATGAACCGGTCAGAAGATATCGTGACTACCGCTTTTTGGGAGGGTTCTCAAAGAACCTGTTGGTACGAGCCTGATTTGAAATATTTTTTAACGAAAATTTTACAAGTAACTCATTTAATAGTGTACTTTAAGATTTAAAAGTGCTCAAATAAAAAAATTAATTCATTTTATGGAAAAAAAATAATTAAACAAAAATACATTTTTTGGACGTTTTGACCCATGTAACCCCTTAAAACTAAATTACACCTTCCGCTCTTAACCCATTAACGCCCAACTCGTGAAAATTCTTTGGTCATTTTCAAGCTACGTAATTATAAATAAAACGGTTGACAATTTATATCAGAGGTACATTTTCTTTAGGTTTTGGATGTGCTCCTTCAGATTCCGGTGTCAAAAATAAATTTTGTCCAAACCAAAATTAAATATGGCTATCTCATTATTCAACGCAAAACGCAGCGTTCGAACGCAAGCATGTAAACACCGCCTAATACTGGCCTATTACGTGTCCAACATCGGGAGGTAACGCCTCTGGCTTGGGCTTAGTACTGAAAATCAGTAATAAATCCCCGTTTCTTCTCTCCCTCCTGTACTACTTCGTGGTTAAAACTAAACTTTTAGAAGTCGGTGGGCGTGGCGTAAAAGGTTAATTGCCAGAACATCTTAGTGGAATACCGTGATGGTCTTGCAATTGCACTATTAAATATTTCATACTACACTACCGTCCACAAGTATTTGGATGATTACAAGCGACTCTATGAAAAAACATGTCATCACTTTTTCAATCACATCTCGGAAATAAAAGGGGATACAAAAAAACTTAAATACGTTAAGAGAGTTTATTATTTTGCGTAAAATAAGCCGTCTTTAAAGTCATTTCGTTAACTATTTTTTGAGTTGTAGAGTGAGAAAGAAAAATAAAAAATTATCAAATTTTCTCAATTTGGTCTCTTGATTTCAACTTTTTCAAAAATCTAGAAAAATTTAGATAAAATTTTTTTAAAAAACTCAGAAATCTTCGTTAGAATTTCAGCTTTAAAATAAGCCTTCGAAAATTGAAAAAGATTAATCCGTCTTCGATTTATTATTAAAAATAAGAAGTCGTGTTGCAACCGATCGGTGTATTGAAATTCAACTGTGACGACTCGATTCTGGCTTCGTACGGCTGCCAATGGGAGAGAAAACAGGAACTGATTTATGAAACTTACGGGACATGTAAAGCACATTTGCCCTAACATTTAGTAAAATTTTGAACAAAATCGAAGATGAAGTTTTTTCAAAAACGGATTTTTAATTTTTCAAAGAAAAAAATAAATAAAATAATAAATAATAAATAAAAAATAATAATAAATAATAATAATAATAATAATAATAATAAATAATAATAAATAATATAAATAATAATAAATAATAAATAAATAAATTTATTTATAAAATTTATTTATACGTTTCATAAAGAATATAAAGAAACTCGAAAGTTCATCGTTCCCCTGCATGAATCCGTCCCTGCTTTCTCTCCCATTCGCAGCTGCGCGAAGGCAGAATCGAGTTGTCACAGTTGAATTTCAATGCATTAATCGGTCACAACACGGCTTCACATTTTTAATGATAAATCGAAGACGGATTAACTTTTTTTAATTTTCAAATGCTTATTTTAAAGCTGAAATTCTAACGAAGATTTCAGTGTTTTTTAAAAAATTTTATCTAAATTTTTGAAAAAGTTGAAATCAAAAGACAAAAATGAAAAAATTTGATAATTTTTTTTATTTCTTTCTCACTCTACAACTCAAAAAATAGTTAACGAAATTACTTCAAAGACGACTTATTTTACGCAAAATTTAATCAGCTTTCTAAGCGTATTTAAGTTTTTCTTATATCTTCCTTTATTTCCGAGATATGATTGAAAAAGTGATGGCATGTGGATTCCACGTCAGTTCAACACACTAATTTTTATGACTAGTTGGGATTTGGCTGTACTTTCGTAAATTTATTACTTTTATAGTGATAAACAACTCCACCAAATATTTTTTCAAAATTTTGAAAATTACCAAAAATATGGCATTTTCAAAATTTTTGTCTTTTTTTAAAGTGCTATAACTTTAGTTCTAATTAACCGATTTTGTATTTTCAAGAAAGGATTTCTTTGGTTTTGAGTATATTTTAAGTTAAAATTAATATAAAAAAAAATTCAAAAAAAATTTTTTTTTTGAAAAATTAAAAATCCGTTTTTGAAAAAACATCATCTTCGATTTTGTTCAAAATTTTACTAAATGTTAGGGCAAATGTGCTTTACATGTCCCGTAAGTTTCATCTTAGGATCTCAAAGGGATTCGGAGTAAAAAAATAAAACGTAACCACGTGTACGGTGATAATGCTATAATGAAGCGCAAGCATTACGAACATGGGGGAAAATTCCTCAACTGTCCATCAGGTCAAAAAATGAATTTTCTCTAAACTTTGCTAAAATATTACTATTATTAATAGAAGTATAAATATACATTTTTTTTAATTTGATAAAATATTTTTTGAGTTATGGAGTTTCAAAATTTTGATTTTTTTGAAAGTATCTTTTTTTCGATTTAATATATTGATAAGTAAAATTAATAAAATTTAAAGTACGAATAGTGATTATTAAAGGGGTTTTCACGAGCTATAAGCTGGTGATGAAAAAAAGTTGATTTCTTTCAATTTTACCTTGAAATTCAAGGTCAAATTCTTAATTTCAATATACTTATCTCAAAAATGTATTTTTTATTTTTTTCTAACCTATCCCAATCGAAAGCTTACCTTTTTTTCTATGAGCGATGTAAAAATCAGAATGGGACCATGGAACTTTTTGAAAAATTAATTATAAATCATCATTTTCTATGTAAAATAATAAATTATTTTTTTACTCCAAATCCCTTTGAGATCCCAAGATGAAACTTACAGGACATGAAAGCACATTTGCCCTAACATTTAGTAAAATTTTGAACAAAATCGAAGAAGATGTTTTTTCAAAAAAGGATTTTTAATTTTTCAAAGAAAAAAATTCTTTTTTTTTATATTAATTTTAACTTAAAATATACTTAAAACCAAAGAAATCCTTTTTTGAAAATCCAAAATCGGTTAATTATAACCAAAGTTATAGCACTTTAAAAAAAGACAAAAATTTTGAAAATGCCATATTTTTGGTAATTTTAAAAATTTTTTTTAAATATTTGGTGGAGTTGTTTATCATTATAAAAGTAATAAATTTACAAAAGTACAGCCAAATCCCAACAAGTCATGAAACTTAGTGTGTTGAACTGACGTGGAATCCACCCGGTAGTGTATATGCCTAAGAAGCCACGCTCTTAGACCATTAAACTTATAATAATATACTATGAGACAATCCCATGCGTTAAAAGAATGCTTCTTTACACTATAAACGCTAGATTTTTTTCTGCGTGTATGAAAATGTTTGAAAAATATTTAGCTTAAGAAAAAAAGATTCTTTAAGCAATTGATAATTCCTTGTTAACTTTTATGTGCTATTGCTATTACTTTTCTCTAACAACACTAAAAATTATTTATAAAATTTGTCGTAAAATTTATAAAATTTCGTTTTTAAAAAGTTAACATATTCTAAAATGATTTCTACATATTAATTAAATTTCTAAAAAATATAATGAATGAATGATGGAGTTACATGCTAAATATAATAGAATAATAAAGCATATACCTGAAGGAGGTGTGAGAGTTTGTTCCCTGTAGTCTTTATAATGGTGAACCAACGCTGGTGGTGACGATGGATGGGGTGGCGGTGCGTAGAGTGACATCGGAGGTGGATATTGGACGGGAGGTGAATAGTGCACCCACAATGGAGCCCTGTAAGTTCCAGGAGGCAGCAAGGGTAATCCGTAGAGAGGATGATGCATAGAGTTACCGGAAGCGATGAATGGGTCAACTCTAGCCGACGGGTGAGGTTGATTAGACGAATACTTGGATATAATTGATTGTTGGTCCTCCGGTTTAAGTAAAGTTCTTAAAAAACCCGGTTCTGTGCTTGGTTTGTCTTCACCTAAAATACTTGTTATGCTGTATGATGATAATTGTTTCGGAGATTGAACTGACGGTGTTGATATATTAGTTGTCTTATTTGGTGGTTGCGGCGTTGCACGACGCTTTGATGCTTGATCTTCGAGAGTCACTCTTTCTAGTTCGCGTAGAATTCGCTTTCGAGGTGAAATAACGTTTGGATCTAAAAGTCGCAAAAGCTTCTCGATAATTAAGTTTAGAGTCCTACCAGTCGCAACACCGTTAGTTTTAGGTGATGTTCGTTTTGAGAAGCCAAAAACTGTTTCGAGACCCAGATGTAATGTTCCACTTTCAAATGGTTGCCTTCGTTTTTTGGCTATCAAACGTGGATGCATGCAAAGGCGTTTTCTAGGGTGTCTGCGAAAGTAAAAGTTGAATTCAGTAGACACACTGCGTCTTGGATTACTTTGTTTCCAACAATGGTCTCTTTGCCATGGGCTGGACTGAACTGATGAGTTGTCGTCTGAAACTGAATTAAATAACATTAAGATGTTAAATTAAAAGTAATAAACCACTTAATGATCAAACCTGTGAAATTTAGTTCTATTCTAACTTTAGTGAGGTTTTGAACTTTGATAAAATTATGACTATAGAGAATATTCTTTTCTTTTACAACTTATTGTAAGAAGTTGTTAAGAATAACAAGCCTTACCACTAAGTGACGTAGAACTCTCCTGTCTGTTTGGAGTTGTGCTTGCAGGAGGCCAGAATGTCTTTTTCGGTACAGGAAACCAAGTGGTACGTTCACCATCTCTGCGGTGGGACAACTCAAGAATAAACTTTCCATCTTTGAAAAACTTAAGTCGGCCACCAGGAGTTGGTAGAACGTTACTATCAGAGCTTGAATCGTTGTGATGAGTTGATTGAAGATTAGAAGTTTTACAATTAGCCTTAGTAAGGGCTGGGTGCAGAACAGGAGGATCACGTGAGCACATTTCTGTTGTGCCCCTCACGTGACTTGCGTGAGTTTGACATTCTGACTTCTCACGCATACTGACACCCCACTGCAACCCATTCTCCACAACAACAACCTCTCATATTTCGGTTTATTTTTTATGAAAGCAAACCAGCTTTCTCGTTTAGAATTTTCTTTTAATTTTATAGGGTACTAATAAACCAGAGCATTTTAAACTTCCGCCAGAAACGTCCAGAAAATCTTCAATTAAATAAATATGTTATATTCTTGATAAACGATCGTGGAAGACAAATATCTTGGAAGCAGATTTTGTGTGCGTAAAATTTTTAAAGGTTGTCATCAAAAACAATATTTCTGGAATAAAGTTGAAATTCCTGAAAATAATAGTAAAAGGTAAGATAAATTTCTTGAGATTTAACAAAAATTATATACATAACATTAATGAAATTCATTCTTATGTTCATATATTTGGGTTCCTAAATAGTAGATAATCTATTCTGGAGCAACATACAAAATCAAATGTTCGTATGTTTTTTTAATCTTATAAACTTACTCTCCCTTAGGTGCCTTAACAAATAAAAAAAATACAAGTGATATTTTGTTTTTTATTTCTGTGATATTTTTGTGACATGAGAGACAATCAACAACATATACTTAAGTGGTGGAGCTACAGTTGCTCTTCTTAAAATCATTGGTGTTGTATAGAGCTGTGCAAAATTCGAACCGAACCGAGTTTTGTTCGGTTTTGGGGCGCCGAAATACACAGAAAAAACTTGGTCTCATTTTTGTTGCATCTCATTTTGAGTACTACTCAATTTGAACAAATTACTAACTTCAAGTTGCTCAAAATGAGTATTACCTGTCGATAAACATTTTCAAAATGTTGGGTTAATAACATTTGCAATTTTGTCATTTTGTGATATTTCATATATATTTACTGTGAAAAATATTGATTTTCATTAATTTGAAAATATTTTAATGTCTTTTTATTTAAAAATCAATTTATTAATTAAAAATTAACTTAATTAAAGTAAATTACACATAACAGGATGAATAAATTTTCAAACTTAGCGCCATTTAATTGAAGTAAGTTGTGTGAAATCAGATTGGCACTACTGGTATGCAGGCCTGCTGGTATGTCAACAAACATTTATAACCTAAAAATTTGCTTGCCTTTATTGAAAAATTGTAGGCAAAATATATGTGAAATGAATATTACATAATATTTTTTACGTCATTTACGCACAGTTAATTAATATATTTTATATTTTTATTGGGTTATTCATTATTTGATGAAAATTTCCACGTATCTTTTATACTCATAATCCTCATAATGAATATGATTTGTCTCATTATGAGTAATTTTTATGTAAGCTCAAAATGAGACAAGGAGTCTCATTTTTGTTGCAACTTATTTTGAGTATCGTACGCTACTCATTTTGAGACTAAGTTTTTTCCGTTACACGGAGAGAAAAAAAAGAGAGCCGTTTGATTTGGCAAGAGAGCGCTGTTTTCCCTTTATAAAGCACAGCAGTAGCGCCGCAAACGTCGAACGGTTATACTTTTTGAGGAGTATCGGTTCTCTTCTCCACACAAATGGAGCCGCTTACTTTCCAAAAAGTGTACCCGCTTTCCCCAAAAAGGAGAACCGTTCTCCCCTCAAGAGTAAGCCACTGATCTCTATATACCTCTGGATTGGAAATGCTATGAGCAGAACTTTTACCACCGCGGCCATCTTTCATTGTAGTAAAAGTACAAAATTATGGTGCGAAAGCCTTGTATTTTAAGTAATAATAATAATAATGATAATAATAATTATCAATTTTAACATTTTATATTCTATACATGAGTTGTTTATTCATACATCTACTTACAATAAAAAAGAAATTTACTTTGTAATATGAAACAAGGCTTTCGCGCCATAATTTTGTACTTTTACTACAATGAAAGATGGCCGCCGTGGTAAAAGTTCTGCTCACAGCATTTCCAATCCAGAGGTATATAGAGATCAGTGGAGTAAGCAGCGTGCTTAACCTCAAGTTGAACGGCTGTTTCGCATTTAACGCAACCGCTCTACCGACAGGTAGAGCCGCTTACTTTTTTTTCTCTCCGTGTATATGTCGAATGTCGAATATTCGACATCCGAACTGGGCTAGTTGGAATGTCGAATATTCGACATTCGAACTAGGCTAACTCGAATGTCGGTTTTTCGACATTCGAACTGGGCGACTGAAATGTCGAATTTTAGAATTTGACATTTTAGAATACTAAAACCGAACACAACTCGGTTCGGTTCGAATTTTGTAGTAACTCGAATGTCGAATATTCGACATCCGAACTGGCCTAGTTCGAATGTCGAATTTTCGACATTCGAACTAGGCGAAAAAATTCGAACAGTTCGGTTCGAATTATTTTGCACAGCTCTAGTGTTGTAATTTTTATTTAATTTTAATTACTTTAACTTTAGAAACTAAATGAAAATAAAAGTAATTTTAAATAAATTATATTAAAATGAAATATTAAGGATTATCTCACCGGGAATATAAGGAAATGACAGAAAATTATAAAACTTTCAGTTTGCTTCTTTAGCTTATTTTAGAAACATAAGATTTTTTTCAGAATTTGTACTACCTAAATTTTGTTTGATAAAATAAATTTGTAATTTAACATAGACTCTTATGGGAACTCAGACAAATCTTAGGAAGAAAGTGTGATAGAAATGAGAGAAAAATTTGGGCCTTTGTGTATAGATACACACTAAAACGTTTTACTTAAAATGCAAATAAGCTAACTTTCAATCTATAGGTGTACTGCATGAGTGTGCGACTGCACTTAAGTAAATCGTTTTTCTGTGTAGATAATGTCAAAAAGTTAAAACTGGAAGAGTTTTGAGAAGGTTGACCACAAATTTAATGAATAAATAATAATAATTATTAAAGTTTCTGGTTTCAAAATAGTAATATATGAACAACAAATATAGAGTCGTCAAATATTTGAAAAACAATAAAATGTGGATGACCACACCAGTGACAAAATAAATAAATGTTGAATTAATTTGGAATGCGACTTGAACGATCTTGAAATTATACATCACATTAAAATAGGAGAGCGGTGGGAGAATTGTTAACTCTAGAAGAATTTTTAAAAAAATTGTTTTTTGGGTCATTCCAGTGAAAATCGTCTAGTAGTCATTCTTTCATTCATTCTGTCTGTCTGTCCACACCTGAAGTCAGTCATTTTATGCTTATTAATATTAAAATAGTATATTAAGCAACAAGGGTATAAAGGCAGCCATTTGTTTACGGTGATTTTTGTGACACGAGTGGAGGTCGAGGGCGCCCCGAGACCGGAACGAGTGTCACAAAAATCATCGTAAACAAATTGGCTGCCTTTATTCCCATTTTACTTACGATATTTTTTATTCCTAATGCACAAAAGTGGCGATTTCAGATAGCAGACGACAGGGAATAAAAGTCATTCACTTGTTCGACTTATATGAAAATGGCGGCCGTTTTCTCCCTTGAGCAAAAATAACGCATGGGATCAGCTGTTACTTTTGCACATGGGAGAAAATGGACGCCATTTTCATACGGTCGAACAAATGAGTGACTTTACTCCCTGTCGTCAGCTATCTAAAAGCGCCATTTTTGTGCATGTGGGATAAAAAATACTTTTACTTTCCTTCTTTTGACAACTAGGGGAGACTAGGTGTGGTTGTTACGCTGTCTCAGAAACAGTTAGTTATAGAGATGGGGTTCTAAAGGGAAAAATGTTTAGTTTTTATCAAGCTTTTATGTACGAACTTGCTGCAATATGTTTAAAAGTTATATGCAAGCTTTACAAGTAAAAAATAGACACATTGGTTTTTAGAGGCCAAAAGTAAACCTTTATACTTTACTACGTAAATTTTTTAATATCAATTCTATGTGGATTAAGCTTTAACAAACTGCCTTGATTGTCCACATTTAATGTATACTATTTTAATAAGGCAATTTATTATAAACAATGTACCTGTTGTGCAGTTGTTACAAGTCATGATGAGAACGGTTATTTTTTCCAAAATTCAACAGATTCGTTTGAAATGTAAAATATTTGTCAAAAATGTAATAACACTAATTTTTTATGAAAAATCTCATGCTTTTCCTAAATTTGACTTCAAAATTAATAAAAAAAAAACTTTTTAAAGTTTTTCTCATTTCGAAACAATATTAGTGCTGCCATCTCTATGGAACTGTCACGTTATTCAAAAATTATGAATAATTAATAAAAATTGTTATAAAAAATGATTTGTCTTCAATTTAGAAATGTTATAGATGATTCTTGATATTGTAACAATCGTCATTCACTTTGTGCAGTTGTTACAAGTTACACGCTGTCATTCAAATGCTTAAATATTTTGTTCGAAAAAAATCGAATAGGTTGAAGAAATTTTTCTTAACGTTTGGTTAGAAAAAAGTCGAAAGGAGTTTCAAAGTTTATCTAAAAACGTTGTTAGAAAATTCGAACTGAGTTTCGAAATTTTTCTTACCACTCTGTTCGGAAAAATTCGAAACAGATTTTGAAATTTTTCGACATTATTGTTTCGAAAAATTTCTAACCTTTGCAAAATAAAACTGGCGAACAGTTTTTCGAAAAATTTCGGAAAAATTTTTACAGTGTAAGCTTCAAGATGTAAAGGTACACTCTCACCTCTACTGTGAGCGCAATGAGAGTAAGAGAGAAAAAACATTTAATTTGAATTTTCTAACTCTCTTACTCTTATGTGTTACCATGACAACCTGCAGGCAGGCAGTAGGAGCTGTGCTAGCGCCTTAAGGCCGTATTTATTTTTTAAATTTTTGATTTAACTGAAATAACTACTGTTTCGATTTACCCTTTGTTTCTATTTACCCCATATATAACCTAAATGATTTGTCAATTATCAGAATTTGTATATCGCAGTATTTCTATATTATCGAATTTTTATGTAACGTAAAAATATATCACTGAAAAAAATATATTTATGATACTGTCATAAATATGGGCAATACTCACATATTATATTGGTGGATATGGGACAACCATACAGTATTGCTGTTTCAGCTATACGCAGTGTAGAACAGCCATATGTATGTGAGATACAGTAAAATGTATGTGAAGAGCACCAATACTGTATTTGAAGAACAGAAATACAGTATTGCTGTTTCAGCTATACGTCCTTACTATACTCGTATGACAAAATCGACAATATCATTTTTTTCAGTGTATGTAATCGAAATATAGTCTGACAGAATTTAAATTTAAACATATTTTGGTGTACAACCATTAAGGGGACACCTAAGTCACCTAAAAACAATGCAAAAAGAGTCAACTTTCGGTACACTTTTCTCGAAAA